AACATTTTTTGGATTATGACAGAATGCTTATTACAACATACATGAGCATTTTATGGATTTAACTGACCCTTCGCTAAGCCCTGCCATAAAAACATTACTTAAGCAACTGTTGCCATCTGCCAGCTTTTGTTCTTTTATAATACAATCCCACAATACATTCCCACCTGCTTTAAGAGCATATTTGAATGAATATCATGCCGTTTATGGTAATCTCATAACTAAAGGGGGTGGAGCTTAACAAAGGATAAGTAAGAGAATTGACTAAAAGGTTGGTGATTTCTTGCTCCATACTGAAGAACTAATATTCAGAAGACAATTCACTTTAGACAGTGAATATGGGCATTTGTTGCCTTATTTGTTACTTAGCCTACTTGATCTAAGCCTTAAAAATGGTGTAAACTTAAATCATCAGGTTGATTCAGTCTTATAGAAACATTTGTTTACTGGCACTCATATTGCCAAACAACCATCCATTTTTCAAACCGCTTGTCCTATGTAGAGTCGTTGTAGTCTATCCCATTGAGTGGACAGATGACCTGTCCATCACAGGCCAAATAAACATTTAGCTTTAATTCATAGTCAAAGAAAAAGAAAAAAAAAAAGTATTCCGTCCACTTTATGTTTATGCTGAAAAAATGAATTGTATTTGCTGCCTCATAGTCTGTTCTGTTAAGTAAATTCCAATGCACTGTTCAACTTGAAATAAGTAAGTTGCCTTGAACTGTGGATCTGTGATGGCCAGTGTTTTTTTCTTGTTTATAGTGTTCACTGTTGTATTCATTTATTATCTTTGACATGAATTAATGTAACCTCATAATATTCCTGTATATTTTCCAAGCAAAATATAGTCATTTGTAGCACCATTACTGAGATTTTCCTGCAGTATATGTCAAAAAGAAATGTACCTGTCACTTGTATGTTCCTGTTTGTCCTTATTTGGTTTGGTTCTTGTTCCCATTATTAGTAGTCACCTGTTCCTTGTTATTAGTTATCCTCCTCACCTGTCTGCCCCTCGTTATCTGCCCTATTTGAGTTCGAGCCCGTTCTGCTCTCCCTGGTCTGGAATTGTTCATGTCAACCTTTGCTACGTGTGTTTTCCTGTTTCCTTTTGATTATTAAAGTTAGTAAAATTCTCCTACGTCTCCTCGCTCCTTTGCTCCACGCTCCTACACACAGTGTTGGGAAGTAACTAGTTACATGTAACGGAATTATGTAATTTAATTACAAAATAAATGTAATCAGTTACAGTTGCTGAGAAAAAATGTGTAATTAAATTACAGTACAAATAACGTTACTTATGAAAATGTTGAGAATCACAAAGGGGGTTACATCTGATTTGTTCACACACACTCCCACATACAGATTTCATTTATTTCTTTCATGAATTGCTGTGACTGCTCTAAAATATGAAACACCAATGTTTCAGAAGTTTAGAACATGCTTATTCCATAACTCTTTTGTTTCATTTATGGGTTTATGTATAGCTATGCTTCATTTTTTTAAGATTTACTGTTTTTTTCCAAGGCATTGTTAGATTCCAGACAGTGTTTCTTGTCATAGCTATGCAAAGATTTGATTTCAAAAACAGTATCATAGCTAATAACATTTTTCTTGTTATGATTTTAAATATGTATTTAACCTCAGAATGATCTTGAAGTCTGATTTTGTGGTGGCTGGGCTTCAAAGGGGACATTGGATGCCCATCTTCCACAAATTGGTATAATTATTTAGGGTTTTCATGAAAATTCCTCAGTGGTCATGTAAAACAACACCCTTTTTACACTGCTCTGTTCACAGCGGCTCGTTTTGGGGCATGTCCCTTTAAATGTTAATGAGCTCTGCTCACCCCGCCCCTCTCTTCCATGGAAGAGCAAAGGCGATTTGCAAATGATCATCATACAAAAATATAAAGTGCGAGACTTACTTCTTGCTGAAGTGCAGCTGGATCACAAACAATGGGTGCTGATCTATCCTTGAGTTTTAACTTTTCAACAAAATATGCCTTGAATTGTCCCTCATTCGGAAAGCAGTCTGGAGTAAAATTATTTGCGCAGACATACATGAATTTACGTGTATTCGGTGGTGCATTACCATCAAAAACAAAACTTATGCACTGCGTCCTCAGTGGCTCTGATGTCAGCAGAAAATTAACACTCTTATGTTCTTCTACATCACAAAACTACAAAACACCTGCATTGCTTACAAGACATTGTCCCTACAGCTGTTCAAAGACTTCGTAGAACTAGCTGAGGGTGAAACTATGCTAATAGACCAATTATCGGTTTGTAAACATTCAGGATGCGCGCGCATCATGGTTGCAGAAAACCCGGGAGATAGCCGTTACAGCTAGAGAATTTCACGGATACGGTACAAAATAGTTAGGTTTAAAAAGATTATAAATTATATTGATTAGATGTCATTTTCAAAATGTTCTACGCATATTACAAGAGCTTGTCACCCAGCGATAAGCACTGTTATTCAACGAAATTGACGTTAGAGAGTGCGATAGTCTTACAGATCCGAAACAGGGATGACGGTTTTTGTGGGCGGAGCCTATCTGGAGGCAGAAAATGACGGTTTTCAAGTGGCAGTCTATGGAGCCATGGAATAAAAGAATAAAAAAAGGTAAATTTGATTTTATATTTCAAAATTATGACTTTATTCTCGCAATTCCGAGATTATATCTCACAATTCTAATAAGGAAAAACAACTCGTCTAGGGTCAGCCGACGTCACAGCGCTAGCTGGAGGCAGCAAAACAAAGAGGAAACTGGAGGCGGCCCATTCAAACCAGCACAGGTTTGGGCTACATAAGGAGTTTCAAATATCATCTTGTTGTGATGTTGGGTGCCAGAATCGACGTAATACAGCCTCAAATTAGAAATTTGATCGCATATAGTTTTTACTTTTTAACAAAACATGCCTTGAATTGTCCCTCATTCAGAAAGCAGTCTGGAGTAAAATTATTTGCGCAGACATAAATTAATTTAGGTGTATTCGGTGGTGCAGTACCATCAAAAGCAAAACTAATGCACTGCGTCCTCAGTGGCTCTGATGTCAGGAGAAAATTAACACTCTTCTACATCACAAAACTACAAAACACCTGCATTGCTTACAAGACATTGTTGCTACAGCTGTTCGAGCGCGGCGAGAATGATGGACTTCGTACAACTGGCTGAAGGCGAAACTATGCTAATACTAGACAGTACTTCAGTGGTTGTGGGCGGGGCCTGAGCAAATATGACATCATACTGCTCAGAAAATCAAAATGGCTGGATAATTGAGACTGTTTAGGTTTTTGGGGAATTAAAAAAAAGAGTGAATGTATTTTTATCATTGTAGGGTGGTGTACACACCGCTAAGATACAATTATGCAAACACCATGTAAAAGTGAATGTTGCATCCAATGTCTCCTTTAAAATTAAAATATAATCTTAATTCAAGTGATGAAGGATTTCGAAAGTCTGACAGGAATCAGTGTTGACTGTTGAGTACTACTGTAAGGTTAACCCTGCCTGGTTTATGTTTGAAAATGATTAACAGTTTAAAACATTAGAAATTTAGAAAAGTAATCAAAAAGTAATTAAATGTAATCAGTTACATTACTTTAATAAAGTAATTGAAAAGTTACACTACTTATTACATTTTAAGTAAGGTAACTTGTAATCTGTAACCTATTACATTTCCAAAGTAACCTTCCCAACACTGCCTACACAGCAGCAGTACCGTCCGTGACATTACCTGTATGTCTGATCATTTACAAAAGAGGTTAAAAAATAAAAATAAAACTGCAAATTTTACAACAAATGTTTAAATGGCTCTTTACCATTTCCAGCAATATTAACAAAACCATCAGTTTGTGGCCGTTAATAAAGACAATAACAATTCACATGAAGAAATTAATCTATCATGCCATGACCTGTTCTGAATAAAATTATGTAAATGGTAGGATACTTATGTCTCGGCTTTTTAAAACATGACTTCAAAAAAGTCAACAAGAGACTTAGTTTTATTAATTGGTAACTTTTACTTCTAAGTAAAAGCAAGATACAACAGTTGGTTGCCCATGAAGTACAATACCCCCAATATCTTAAGATTAATGTTTAACAATACAAGTCACAGAAATAGCTAATGGTAAGGTGGTTTAACCTTTGGCACAATCAGAAGTAACAGTCGAGTTGTTGCACAAATAAAACCTTTTTACAACTTTAAGTTCTATTAAACCTTTGCATTTTCTCTCCAATACTGTAGAGACCTTTTTCAACAATATTTTGTATAATGCTGTGGCTAGGTTTGTAGAAGTCATTTCTTATTTGAACTGTTTAAAAAAATACTGAATACTATCTAATTTTCATAAATACATTAATGTATACATTTAATTCCTCTTAAATACTTACAGTATTATAAAGTCCTTGGCATTAGAGGAAAGACAACGTTTATAAACCTCACGAAAGCTCAGGCTGGGGCTCTTTGTAAGTTTTCGTGGCTGGTATTAGTACATGCAAATGAATGCATGATATTTTTCACATATTAAAATGTCTTAGTAAAAATATATGAAGGTAAATACTATATTGCTGTTACTATATTTCCTCTTATTTGAAAATAATAATATAATAATAACACTTTTCAAAGCTAATTCATAAATATTGAGATTATCAAATTTTGTCAAAAAAATGAAAAATATTTAAACAATTTGTAATTATATCGCCCTTTCTTAATGCCACACTGTAAAAATATTCGTAAAAGTGCTACGGTAAAAACCTGTTAATGGGTTAACTGTTAAGATGTACCATACACGATAAAAACATTACATAGAATTTTACTGTAAATTAATGTAAACTTTATAGGTTTTGAAAGCATGAACTGCCATATAATTTATGGTTGAAGACAGTAAAAGGACATTCCCAGAAGTTAATGTGTGACATCAAATATGATTATATTTTTTATATTATTATTATTTTTTTTTTAATAGTTTTTTTTCTTCTTTTTTTATTGTTAGTAATTGTTAGTAATTTACCACCAATAATGTATTTGCCATCCCATATTACCAGAAACATATTCCAGTATGGCGGATGTAGTATGCAAAGTCATTTCAATCAAATTCAGTACATACTGTGAAAGTATGGGAATTCAGACGCAGCCATTCATCATGGGAAATTTGACAATCATTTAAAAAAAAAAGCATAAGCACCATCTTTAACCTAACTGCCTTTTGCCTTATGAGGTGAGCAATTCAAAAAAGAGCTTTCTCGTGACTTCAACATTTGTCTCACACTCTTGTTATTTACTGTGGCTAGCAGAGGGTGCATTCAGTTCATGCTCCAGCCTGGTGTTCACCTGTTGGCCTGGGGGTCCAAAGGCAGGGCATGGAGGATGGCCGGCTGCTGAAGGGGCCGAAGGGTAGAAGTGCACATCCACAGCCACAGAGGTCATGCCCAGGGACACGCAATGGGACAGCAGGAGGGGAGAGAAACTGTGGGAGATATTGATGCTGTGGCGCACGGGAGTTGAGGAGGGATCGCTGGTCTGGAGGGTAAGAGAAGTGCGCAGGCCCTCCTCCTGGGCAGGTGCTGGATTGGCTGGAGGAGGTGAGGGGGCGTCCTGACCTGGTTCAAACTCTCTGCTCCTCCAGTCCTCCATGCACTGAAGCTGAATGTCAGAATGTGGTGAGGGAGTGACCTTCCCCTCCTCAAATATAGTCTCCAACTAATTCAGAATGGGAAAAAAAAGAAAACTGTTAAAAAAAAAGAAAACAAGTAACTGTTGCTTCTTTCTTTATAGCTGTGAATTAACCCACAGACTGTATGTTTTTTTGTATGTCTGGAGTCCCAAAGACTGCAAAGACAAAGCTGTATGTGTAGAAATAAAACTAGTGATTTCAAAATGAATCTATTAATTTAACAGAAAAGGAGAAACTTTGAAGAATGATCATGCTGCATTCAGTTTCAGTTTAGTTTATTTATAAAGCACTATTAAAACACCAGAGCGTTGACCAAAGTGCTGAATAATGAAGATAATTCCTCAAAAAGAAAACAACATCAAAACACAAATAAAACACCGAAAACAGTACAAACGAAAACCAGTGCCTCAACACACTGCAGTGTCCAAAGCTAAACATAAAAAATGAGCCTTCAGACATCTTTTAAAAATACTTACAGTAGGAGCAACTCTAATGTGAGAAGGAAGACTGTTCCATCTTTTTAGAGCCGCCACTGCAAAGGCCCTATCACCCCTTCGCTTGTACCTCGTCCTCTGAACAATTCAAATAGACTGGTCAGAAGACCTTAAAGACCTAACAGGCTTGTGCACCTGTAAGAGCTCTGACAGGTAAGAGGGAGCTAACCCATTCAAAGAATTATATACAGATACTAGGAGCTTAAAGTCAACCCTGTACTGGACTGGCAACCAGCCCAGAGAGGACAGAATAGGAGAGATATGATCCCACTTGCAAGTCCCCGGAGTACTGCCTAGCGGCAGCATTCTGTAGTAATTGCAAACGGTTTAGAGCCATTTGGCAAACACCAAAATCCTAGCGGCAGATTTAACGACAATAGCCTAGCGGCAGCATTCTGTAGTAATTGTAAACGGTTTAGAAGCATTTGGCAGACACCCACATACAAAGAATTGCAATAATCAAGCCTCGCAAACAAAAAGGCATGGATCACCTTCTCACAATCTTTAAAAGAAAGAGATGGTTTATAAAAACTGTAAATGCCACTAATCAGACCTTAATAAACCTTTGCCACTAATCAGAAATGAAAAAAAAAAACAGATTTAACGACTGAATTTATCTGTTTATCAAATTTGAGGGTTTCAAATAGTACCCCTAGATTTTTGACCACAGGTTTACAAAAAGGGGTCAACTCACCTAAATTTGACAGTTCATGTCTTTCATGAAACATTAAATGTCCTTCATGTCCTTCATTAAAACATAAGAAGTTCGCAGACATCCAGGCTTTAATCTCCTTCAAACAGTTCACAAGGGAGTCCAGAGCATTTACATGATTTTTCCTCAAAGGCAAATAAATTTGCATATCATCTGCATAAAAATGATATGAAATCCCATATTTTCGAAAAATTGTCCCTAAAAGTAAAATATGTAAAGGAAATAAAACAGGGGCAAGAATGGATCCTTGTGGGACACCACAAATTAACGGGGCAGAAGATGAAAATGCATGACCTGAATTGATGGAGAAACTTCTATTCGATAAGAATGATCTAAACCAATAAAGAGCAGCACCATGAATACCCACTACTTACTCAAGGTGTGAAACAAGGATCCCGTGATCAATCGTATCGAAAGCTGCAGTGAGATCTAAAACCATAAGGACCACAGAATGACCAGAATCACTTAATAGTAAAATATCATTAAGTAGCTACTTTTAACAATGCAGACTCTGTACTGTGGTAAGCTTTAAAGCCGGACTGAAAAATCTCAAACACAGCATTTTGGTCCAAAAAACTCTGCAATTGGCTAAGAACAATTTTCTCTAAAACCTTGGATAAAAACGGCATTTTTGAAATTGATCTAAAATTGGACAGAACAGAACGATACAAATTTGGCTTTTTAAGAAGAGGTTGCACTACAGCATGTTTTAGTGACAACGGCATCATACCAGAATGGAGACTACCATTAATAATGGACTGAATGCTCGGGCCAATAATATCAAAGACCTTTTTAAACAGCCATGATGGAATACTATCCAGAGGACAGTATTCCCAGAGGTGGGTTTCATCCGACCTACAGTCTCAGTCAGTATCACCAATATTCATATGACTCATGCATTTATGTCATATGATAGCTTTGTTCATTAAAAACTGAACTTGAAAATGTAGCTTGACAGCCACTATTCAATTTCATTGTATAGTTATTCTGCTTAAAATAACTATTTTTTTACCATACAGCTTAAAGAAAGTTATACAGGTATTAAAAGAAATGAGGGTAAGTAAATGATGACAGAATATTAATATGTGCATTAACTTGTGCCCTTCCGTGAATCATGGTTTCCGCAAAAATATTAAGCAGCACAACTGATAATAAGAAATGCCTACTAGAATGGTTTCTGAAGACTGGAGCAATGGCTGCTGTAAATTCAGTTTTGCCATCAAAGGAATATGTGACATTTTAAATGATATAGGCCTATTTAAATAGAAACCAGTTGTATACTTTTGTTACTTTTTGTACTGTATTTTTGATCAAGCCTTGCAGCCTTGGTGAACATAAGAGACATTTAGTATCAGGTATCACGATATTCTCCTTCATGGGTTTGGAATAAAATTTGTTAAAGAGGTGAAAAGCACCATAAAAGTTCTGACCTGGTCTTCTTCTCTAGGCTCTGGGTGAGTCTCCACAACAACTGGGATGTCCTGAGTGGACTGGACACCCTCTTGCAAGTCATCGGATGGTGGTTCCATCATCAAGGTGGATGGGCTGCCTTCTGTTGGGAGCGCTCTTGTCTCCGATGTGTTGGGGCTTTGCTCAATGACAGCCACCAAATGATCATCTTCAAATGCCCTGAAATGTGCCAGCATTAAGACAGTTACAAAACTACTATTCAATTAATGCAATGCTGACAGGGGCATTATACCATTGCTCTCAACATGCTCTCAACAAGACTAACTTGTTATCGTATGTCCTTTCCATTGCAAGACGTTCACCATTCCTGCAAGGCCCACCTATTCCCCTCGGAACTATGAGAAAAAAAAAAAGTTTTATTATTTTTCTGTGAACATCTTATTTATGAACTCATCACAGTCTGTGAGTAAAATGAGTATCGATGTTTATTTTTAGAATATATATTATATCTCACCTGTCCTCCCTGTAGGTACAGCTGCAGGATCATTTTTCTGAACCAGAGAGTAAAAGGCCATGGCAATGAAGATGAATGCCAACGAAACACCAACTCCAACCACAATGGGAATGTCATGCTTCTCAATCACAGGCAACCAAGTTTGGGATTTCTCCTTTTCTCTGAGGAAAAAAGGCATGTTATATGAAAATCACAACTCAAACAAGCCATTATAGTTCATTGAGAAGGAATTATTTCAGGACACTGAAACATCATAAATCCCTACTAAGCCTCACAGCAATGCCATAATTAAATCATAAAAATCAATGTATATAATTTCAGATGGTCTTACATTTACACTTCCAGTGCAATAATGTGTTTTGTTAACAGCCTGTCATTTTCTACTAATTGTTAACTGTTACACAATACATTGCCTGAAGGAACCAACCTGAAACCAAACAATTTCAGCATGCTTCAGCAATTCCTAGATCAAAAGGAACTAAATCAAAATTTCTCATGCCACACTTTCCCATGAGAATATGTCCCGTGAGAGTACTCAGGCACTGCTGAAACAAAGTTGTCAAGTCATGTTGCAAGCTGTCACAAATATACTGATGCATGCTCATCATTGATTTAAACCAAAAAGAAAACGGTATAAAAATAATAGTCTTCCATCTTGTGTTACACATGTACATTAGCAAATATGAGATTTTCTCTCTGCTGTAAATGGCAAAAGAACTGAGAAGCTCATTAACAAAGATGTTAATTTGATCACCAACCTGTTTTTATTGTCAGTGGTCCTCATAGGGGCCTGTGAGGTGTTTTTCTTGAGTGACTCAACAAGGTCTGTGTCATTCGTCACCGATGACTTGGTACCTCCAGACTGCTTGATGATTTGACTCTGATTTTGATGCTTTTGCACAGGAGCCGAGGCAGTGAAATTCTCTACATCCATTAAAGTTAAGCCTGTAGTCTGAGTTTGTCCGCTAATGGACTGGGCACTTTTCAGGGAAAAGCTCTGAATTTTATGGGAATATAAGTCTGCTGACGAAGGGCTGTTTGTGTTTGGATTCATTACTGGAGGTTTTGTGGCCTGCTCTGTTGGTTGCATATGTTCATGCGAATCCTGTATAAAAGTCTCTTTGAGTGGGGGAAATGGTGTAGGTTTGAGAGGCACAGGGGTTGGTTTTTGTGTTTGAATGGGATGTTTAATTTTTTCATTACTTCCTATGCTAATGTAACTTGGCTTAAGTGAAATTAACTCTATAGTGTCTTGGGTAGATTCAAGATTCAAGTATGTTGGTGAGTCCTCCACAAAAGCATTTAGCACTGTACCAAAAAAGAATAAGAACATTATTTTTTAGTTTTGCAGAAGAAGAAAATTCTCTAAGGTACGTTATTTGTGGATTGAAGAAGGATGGACTTACAAGATATCTTTGTGTAATCTTTAGTTGTTTGCTGAAGGGATTCATTTGTCTCTGTATTACTCAGAAGCTTTGAACCATAAAGAAAGGAATTAGTAAATAGCTCTTGCTCAATCTCTGGAACCTGCAAAGTTGGAAAAACACACACAATGTCAGATCCATGATTGTTACCAGATGCAGGTGTTGCAAGGTATTATTCAACTAGCCTAAACAATTAAAAATGGTCAAAATGGTGGAGAATGTTGATGAAAATGCCAAAGTACTCACAAAACAATCACAGAGTCAGTCATGTGTTATGAAGCTAATGTCACAGATGGGTCCAGCATGACTATCTCTGCATATTGCATTACTCACAGTAGGCATAATCGTTTTACTCAGTTCCTTATCAGGTGGGACATCTGAATCAGCTTTAAGTTAGAGCATTTGGCTGGTTAGATAAGACCGAGATGTGCAAACATGAAACTGATTTATATTTACTGGAGCTATGAGAACTAAAACAATCTTAGTTCTCATGCATTTTGCTCACCAGTTACAGTTATGATGAGACTTCTCACATCCTGACCGACTCTGTTTTCCGCAGTGCAGTGATATTCCCCTGCATCAGACCAGTGGATGTTGGGGATGACTAATGTCCCATTATCTGTAAAATAATTTTTTTATTGAAAAAGAAAAAAACTTAAAGTATGGCCTACAAGGGAAAACCTGCTTCATATGATAAAACTACAATCTGTCCAATATGTAACAAACCATCAATGTGTATCTGTTGTGGGAGTGAGACCGGAGAGTTTGAACCAGACTGTTCTGGTGAATTTTGTATCGACGCAGTTCTAATCCAAGTGTATTTGACAGGAAAATCTCCAATAGCTCGACAAGGGAGACTAACAGGTGATCCCTCTGAGACAGTGAGTGATGCAACGAAGGAAACAATGACAGGTTTCACTGAAAACAAGAAGAAATATACAATTAGATCTAAAATAGAAAATGAGTTGACTTTACCTAAAAAAGTGAGAAAACCATTTGCCTTAAAAATCAAGCAAATAAACATCATGCCTAACTGAAAAAAAATAAGTTATGTTAACCTGACCTTTCTGAGTTATACTGGCAATTAAAAGTTATTAAAACAAAAGAAAATTTATTTTAGTCACTTTTATATGTTCCACTAACTTAAGCTGATTAAATTGCTATTACACAACAATGTAGAGCTACATAATTCAAAACTAGTCTTACCAAAAATCTTTAGCAAAAACTTATTATATATATTATATACTTAGTATATTCCCAGCTACAAGTACTGTGCATTGCAGCATATTTTCAGTTTTATTGCCAGTGCTTGTTGTCAGAATTATAGCACAACAAAACTTAACTTGTTTTAATGTCTTATTTTCAGATTAATTTGATTGTTACAGTTGTTATGTTTTGCATGAATGTTGATGTCTGTGTGTGGCACAATTAAGGTCATCAACTAGCCCATGAATATAATAATTTATACTATTACCCATTAATTGTATAATGTTTATGACAGCACAATTTTGATAGATTGCAACTTTGCATTGCCAAATAAAATGTGAATTAGTTAATGGTCTATTTTCAAGTTAGATCACTTCTAAAAGCAACCATGATTACAATAATGTATTTATACATCCTCTATAAATAAATAAAAATAATTCCATGGTACATGTTCAAAAAACATGTTAGTACCATGGTACTTTTTGCTAGTATGCTATTTTCACAAAGGGAGATTTACCAGCAACCCGGAGAGTCATGGTTTTCTGATCGTGACCCAGGGTGTTGGACCCTGCGCATGTGTAATGTCCTTCATCATACGTTCTCACTGATGAAATGTAGAGTGTTGTGTTTCTTAACCTGGGAACAAAATGAATTTGCAAGCACCACTGGTAAACAGTAACTACAATCATAGTTAATAAACTCTCCATGCACAACATACCTCATGATAATTTTGCCTCCAGTTTGGACAGACCGGCCCTGCTTTGACCACTTGATGAAAGGGGCAGGGTGTCCTAACACCTGGCAGTGAATCGCCACTTCAGCTCCTACAGGAGACGTTACCATCATCGGCCAGATAGTCACGGATGGAGGTTCTGAAATAATAAGGCCAGATGGACCATAGAAAGTAATTACGAGAGCTGAGCAAACATAATGAAGAATACAAAGTCACAAATGATCAGCCAATCGATTTCTTAAGTCATGGGTTAGTGAACCCCTATTGGTTTATGATAGAACTACAGGTGTGATAGAAATGGCTAATTAAATTAAACAAATTTGATTAAGAATCCTGATCATAGGGTTTCAGTAGACCTGGTTTACATGATTTCATAACAATTTCATAATTCAGACTAAACCATTCTCATAATGGTTAATATTTAAATAGGGATCTATTAGGGGTTACTTTCAAAGAAAGCCTAATAATTCCTTACCAAGAACATCCAGGAATATTTTTTTCGATGTGAGAGCCCTTTTGAGATGGGAATTAGATGCTCTGCAGAAATACAATCCACTGTCTGTCTCTTGTACACTGAAACACAGAGATTCACAATTAAAATATATATTTTACATTTTGATGGTTTTCTAATTTTACAACATTCAATTGCAGTATTATACACAAATATACATAAACATCACAGTTTAGCAAAAACTGGATTAGATAAGAATGAACTGCAGAAAACAAACAAATCCACACAACACACCTGTGGAAGACCAGGTCTCCGGTAGGATCAAAAGTATAATACGGTCCTGTCTGGAGGAGTCTGTTGTTCTTAAACCAGGACACTTGTGCTTGGGGTCTGCTGTGAGGAGGCCTACAGGAAAGAGTCGCAGATTCACCCTTCCTCACTGTTAGGTTGGCAGGTTCAAGAACAAAGATCCAATCCATAACTGTGTGAGAAGGGATGAAAGGATATGCTAAATAGAGGACAGGTGTGAACAGCTGCCACTTGGAATGAAAGTGGGCTACTCTGAAAAAGAAGTACCTGCAGGCAGGAGGTAGGCTGGCTCCGATATCATTTTCTGCCTCTCATTGTGAGCTTCACAGGAATACAGGCCCTCATCCTCTGACAATACTCTCCTAAGAACACGATTTTCACACTTGTTTCACAATGTCTTTTATTATAAGTATTTGATTTTGTAAATATTCAAATTGATGTGATATATATCAAAATACATATATTTTGTTGTTGCAATTTCACACTTGTTTATTCATGATTTGTCATAGAAAAACCTCACTGAAAAATCAGCAGTTGTCCATCCTTCTGCAGATCCCATCTAGAAGAATTGGGTAATGGATGTCCATCCTTAAACCACTGCACTGTGGGAATGGGGAAGCCTTCAACAAAGCAGTGCAGTGCAGCTTCCATTTCAACAGGTACAGTAAGATTTTGGGGGCCTTCAATAATCTTTACGTCTACATTGGAACCTGTGCAACAGACATAAAGACCCCTGAATTAATATATCAGTAACTGAGTAATAAGAAAGTCAGAATATGTCAAATATATCAGAGTTGTATATCTCTCTGTCTTACCATGCACTGTCAGAGTTGCTGCTTGACTTCCTTTGCTTATGTTCAGCAGAGGATTGTGGGTGATACAGATGTAGACTCCTTGGTCTGCTTTAGTGATGTTAGCCATGTGCAAAGTGCCAGAAGTCTTCCTTTGACTCCCTCCTCCATACTGTCCCTAGTGGTAATATATAGTATTTAGTAAATAAAAATGATTGAACTACACTACACTCATTTCGCAGTTTAGCGACCCCTAGTGGTGACATGTCTATATTTAAGCAGCGCATGTGCTGTTCAGCCATTATGTTGTGAGGTGTTTGAGAGGGCACACAGATGATACCAATCTCCATCCACACTTCATTTATTCTGGGAAAAGGCACTGTCTGTAAGTGTTTTTGCTGCCTCAGCAGAAGCTGAAGTGTTTGAGGCATTTGTTAAATCAGAAATGGGTGAATCTGACAGGAGAGGAAGTCATGTTTCATCAATCCACCAGTCCATTGAACGAACAGGAGAATATGTTCGGAAACATTTTTCTTGTTCTGTAGATAAATTTCCTCAACCTGCAGATGTAGACGGTTCCAACTGTCGCTCACAGTGTCATATAGATTCTTTCAGTCAGACCCCAGTTACAGTTCAGACTCCCATCATAGCAAAAGTTAATTCCACAGATGTTTCGGAACTGGCTGCTTATTTATCTCGTAGAGATCTTATTACTGCAGGGCTTAAAGTGTTTGATGATCAACCTGCCAGTTATCTGTCATGGAAATCCAGTTTCAACAATGCAGTAGAGGGGTTGAGTCTCAAACCTAGTGAAGAGTTAGATCTCATCATCAAGTGGCTTGGTGGGGAGTCACTGCAACATGTAAAACGCATCAGAGCAGTTTATGTTAATAATCCAGCTGAGGGCCTGGATGTGGTCTGGCAGAAGTTATGGTTCTCCTGAAGTTATTGAAGCTTTCCTGTTCTCCAGACTTCACAATTTCCCCAAATTTTCAATTAAAGACGGCAAGAAGCTGCAAGAGCTCAGTGACTTACTTCTTGAAATTCTAGCAGCAAAGAAAGAAGGTTATCTACCAGGGCTCAACTTCCTTGACACAGCAAGAGGAATAAACCCAATTTTAGAGAAATTGCCTTATAGTATTCAAGAACAGTGGATGAGTAAAGGCTCTCATTATAAAAGGGATCATTCTGTTCCATATCCTTTTTCTTTTTTTTGTTGAATTTGTGGGTCAACAAGCAGAGATGAGAAATGACCCTAGTTTTTTTTCTCTCAAGTACTGGCACTGTTCCATTCAGCGTTGAGAAGCAACATCCAGTTAAATCATGGAAACCTAAGGCCTCTTTCTCAGTCAACAGAACGCAGGTGGAAAACCCTCTCTTTTTTGAGCACTTAAAAGAGGATCCAGATAAACAATGTCCTCTTCACAAAAAACCCCATTCGCTAAAAAAGTGCAGAGCTTTCAGAGGAAAACCCCTTGTAGAGCGAAAGCGTATTTTGTCACAGCAATTTATATGCTTTAGATGTTGTGCTTCAACAGCACATCAAGCAAAGGACTGTAAAGTTGTAGTGCTTTGTGAGGAATGCAATAGTGATCAACACATCTCAGCTTTACATGCAGGACCAGCACCTTGGATTATAGTGAACTCTTCTAAACTAGCATATGATCATGGTGGGGAGCAAAGTGCACGTGCATCAGCTGCGACTACCTCAATGTGTACTGAAGTGTGTGGAGGAGGACTCAAAGGTAAATCTTGTTCTAAAATTTGTCTAGTAAATGTCTATCCAAAGGGACAACCCGAAAAGAAAGTTAGAATGTATGTGCTACTAGATGACCAGAGTAACGTGTCACTCGCTAGATCAACCTTTTTTGATATTTTCAAAATCCAAGGTGATGCTTGTCCATATACACTTAAAACATGCTCTGGAACGACGGATGCTGCTGGAAGGAGAGCAAGTGGTTTCATTGTAGAGTCAGTAGATGAAGAAGTCTGCCTATCATTACCAACTCTCATGGAATGTGATTTGGTTCCTAACAACAGGGACGAAATACCAACTTAAGAAGCTGCACGCAACTATACTCATCTTAAAGCTGTAGCTGACAAGATTCCGCCTCTTGACCATGATGCCAAGATTCTCTTGTTGCTTGGCAGAGACATCATTCGTGTGCATAAGGTACGAGATCAGTGCAATGGTCATCACAATGAACCCTTTGCTCAACGCTTGGATTTCGGATGGGTTATCATTGGCCATGTCTGTCTTAATGGTGCCCATAAACCCGCTGTTTGTTCTTATAAAACCAACCTTCTCTGGAACAGACGTCCCAGTTACCTGACGCCATGTGAGAACAACATCTACATGAAAGTACGACTGTCAGGTGAGCAAAACAAGTCTCCTGTTAGGCCAACATGCACAGATGTGGGCAAATTGATTTTCAGTCAGACGGAGAAGGATTAAAAGCTTGCAGCTTCATTTGAGGATGAACTCTTTTTACAGATCATGAACCAGGAATTCTGTAAAGATGATGCAAACAGTTGGGTAGCTCCTTTACCATTTCGCACACCAAGACAACGCTTACCCAACAACAGACATCATGCTTTGAGTCGACTCATGTCTCTCAGTCGTACTCTGAAAAAGAAAACAGAGATGAAGGATATTTTCATAGATTTCATGGAAAAGATGTTTGAAAACAATCATGCTGAAGTAGCACCTCCTATTGACAGAGATAAGGAATGTTGGTACTTGCCAAGTTTTGGAGTTTTATCACCCTCAAAAACCTGGTCAAATTAGAATTGTGTTTGATTCAAGCGCACGGTTCAATGGCGTGTCATTGAATGATGTTCTCCTTCGAGGTCCAGACCTCAATAATAGCTTGCTTGGGGTCCTCATGCGCTTCAGAACTGAGCCAGTTGCAGTGATGACAGACATCAAGCAGATGTTTCATAGTTTCCTTGTGAAAGAGGATCATCGTGACTACCTCCGTTTTTTGTGGTTCCGTAACCACCAACTTGACAGTGAGGTCATGGAGTATCGCATGAGAGTTAATGTATTTGGTAACTGCCCCTCACCCGCTGTGGCCATTTATGGTCTGAAGAGGACAGCTATGGAGGGGGAAAGTGAGTTTGGAACAGAAGTGAGGAAATTCGTAGAAAGACACTTTTATGTAGACGATGGCCTCAAATCATTCCCCATAGTAGAGGAAGCTATCAGTGTGCTGAAAGCAGCTCAAGAGACGTTGGCCCAATCCAATCTTAAATTGCATAAAATCGCATCTAATAAACTAGAGGTTATGAAAACCTTCCCTGCTGTTGATCTTGCCATGGGCTTACAGGACCTTGAAGTTGGTCAAGACCTTTCCTTTGTGCAACGGAGTCTAGGCCTCAAATGGGATCTTGTTACAGATACACTCACTTTTCAAGTGGCTGATGCTGAGAAACCATATACCCAATGTGGTGTGTTATCTGCTATTAATAGCCTGTTTGACCCGCTTGGGTTTGCTGCTCCTGTGAGTGTTCAAGGTCGAAAAATTCTGAGAGATCTGACCAGTGATTTCTGCGATTGGGATGCACACAAGTTCCAGGAATGGCGGAAATGGTGTATTTCTCTACAAGATCTGAAAGAGGTGAAGATTCCAAGAATATACACAACAATTCCTCATTCACAAGCTCAGGAAAGAGAAGTTTGTATATTCTGTGATGCATCGACTCTAGCTATTGCCGCTGTTGCCTATTTAAAGGTTACAAATTCTCAAGGACAGACTGAGATTGGGTTCATCTATGGTAAAACAAAACTGGCTCCTAAACCTGATCTTACCATTCCCAGACTTGAACTCTGCACTGCTGTTCTCGCAGTAGAAATAGCAGAAGTAATTTCTGAAGAGCTGGACCTAGAACTGAAGAACATGAAATTCTTCACTGATAGCAAGGTGGTTCTAGGTTATATATTCAATGAATCAAGACGTTTCTTTGTGTATGTCAATAACAGAGTGCAACGAATTAGACGTTCATCTCAGAAACATCAGTGGCACTATGTTCAGACTGATCTTAATCCAGCTGACTGTGGAACTAAAACTGTTTCAGCAAACCAGCTTACCACCTATGCATGGCTGACTGGCTCAACATTTCTTTTGCATATGCAGATCTGCCAACCAGGTGTAGAAGCCTTTGAACTCATTCATTCTGAATTGGATGCAGAATTGCGACCTGAGGTAATGGCATGTTTAACAAACCTTTCTCCACACCTTGGAAGTGCACGGTTTGAAAGGTTTTCAAGCTGGACATCTGCTTCTAGAGCTGTAGCATGACTCTCACATATAGCTCATTCCTTCTCAAAAGTAGTTAAACAGGATTCCTGCCACGGCTGGCATATGTGCAAGGAACCTTTGAATGCAGTCCAATTGGATGATGCAAAGACTAAAATTCTTCTTGCTGTTCAAACCGAGATCTATTCAGAGGAAATGCTGTGCATCAAAAAGGGAAAACCTATTCAGAAACAAAGCGCCCTTGTCAAACTCTGTCCCTTTATTGACTTTCAAGGTCTATTTAGAGTTGGAGGACGGTTGTCAAAAGCACAACTTCCATCAAATGAAGCGCATCCAATTATAATTCCAGGTAGACACTACGTTACTCTACTCATCAGACACTACCACGAAAGAGTTTGCCACCAAGGCCGCCATTTCACTGAAGGAGCTGTTAGGGCAGCTGGATTCTGGATTGTAGGTGGCAAGAGATGTATCAGTAGTCTAATACACAGCTGTGTAACATGTCGTAAGTTACGGGGTAGGTTGGAAGAACAGAGAATGGCAGACCTACCTGGTGATCGCTTGAGCACCGATCCTCCATTCACTTATGTAGGTCTAGATGTGTTTGATCCATGGTCTGTCACTACAAGAAGAACACGAGGAGGACAGAATAATAGCAAGCGCTGGGCAGTCATTTTTACGTGTATGAGTACACGAGCCATTCACATTGAGATTGTTGAATCACTGGATGCATCTTGCTTTATCAATGGCCTTAGGTGATTCTTTGCAATCAGAGGACCTGTGAAACAACTGAGGTCTGATTGTGGGACAAACTTTATAGGGGCCAGTAAAGAACTACAGGTTGGTTCTAAGCATGCCAACAAACCTTTGGAAAACTACCTCTCAGAGCAAGGTTGTACTTGGTTGTTCAATCCGCCACATTCCTCACACATGGGAGGTAGTTGGGAGAGAATGATTGGAGTATCTCGTCGTATTCTCGATGCAATGTTTCTCAAACTCGGATCTGCCAAACTTACACATGAAGTTTTAACAACATTTATGGCAGAAGTTACTGCAATGGTAAACTCAAGACCATTAAATGCTGTGTCATCTGATCCAGAACAGCCTCTTATTCTTACTCCTGCTATGCTCCTTACGCAAAAGATTGGAGCACATATTGTACCTCCAGGGCAGTTTGACGATAGTTATCTCTATAGACGGCAGTGGCGTCAAGTCCAGCATTTGGCCAACGAATTCTGGAAAAGATGGAGAAGTGGGTATATCTGTGGTCTCCAGAAAAGACGAAAGTGGACAGAGGAGAAAACAAATGTACAAGAGGGAGATGTTGTCTTGCTAAAGGACATTCAAGCCAAAAGACACGACTGGCCTATTGGCCTAATTAACAAAACTTTTCCTAGTGATGATGGGTAAGTAAGAAAGGTAGAAGTTAAAATTGTCAGAGAAGGTGGCTCTAAATTATTCCTGAGACCAATCTCTGAAATTATTCTCCTCGTGACTAAAGATGGTAAAGGACTCTGTGCTTAGTTTGTAGAATGGACATTAAATATTTATTTTGCCTGTAAGGTTTGACATCTTAAATATGCTAGTTGGGGATTATGCTGTTTTCAGCTCTAGTTTCGCAGTTTAGCGACCCCTAGTGGTGACATGTCTATATTTAAGCAGAGCATGTGCTGTTCAGCCATTATGTTGTGAGGTGTTTGAGAGGGCACACAGACGATACCAATCTCCATCCACACTTCATTTATTCTGGGAAAAGGCACTGTCTGTAAGTGTTTTTAAATGAATGTTCTTTTTGGTGTTTGTTGTAGGTTGTGTTGTTGTATTTGGAGATGTTAGATGAGTGTATGTGTGTGTGTGTGTGTGTGTGTATATGTAAGACTAGTACTCTTCAGCTTGTTGGATTCACCTAATTTAGGTATTTATTGTTAAGAATCTTTCAATAATGATGTATTTTAAAACTTGTATGATCATTTGCATACTGAAGGAAATGTAAGATGTGTGCCCTGTAATGTTGTTTACACTATTGCTATGTATGCTGTGCTATTTACAATTGAAAATGGATGTATTAGAAGTTGCTTATGCTCATCTATGCTTCTATTGTTGTTTTTTGCAGTTTTACACCGCTTTCATTAAATTGCACTTGGATTCAGTTGTTGTCTCAAGTCTTTGTTGGGGGAGTGTTAAGCTTGCTGCATAGCTATGTATGTGTACACATAGTAAGGGCAGTAAAGTTAGATTCCAGTGTTTCCTGTCATAGCTATGCAAAGATTTGATTTCAAAAACAGTATCATAGCTATTAAACTATTTCTTGTTACGATTTTAAGCATATCTCTTTACATGCTAATGAGCTTTGCTCACCCCGCCCCTCTCTTCTGTGGAAGAGCAAACACAATTCACAAATATTCATAAAAAAAAAAAAGCCTTGTGGCCAGTGCGCTGACATATAGCGCCATTGTACTTCGGATGTCCTGTGTTCGAATCCCGACTTGAGGAAAAGTTACACTACTTATTACATTTTAAGTAGGGTAACTTGTAATCTGTAACCTATTACATTTCCAAAGTAACCTTCCCAACACTGCTCATTTGGCATGTGTGACTGCAAATAAAAAAAAATACATCATGCCCAAACCACACCCACAAACAGTTTTGACCAATCAACAATGCTCTTTGGCTAGCCGAATTCTCATTTGTCAAGACTTATAGAGATTATCCAACATGTAGATGAGTTTGTTTCTTCATCTAAGCAGATTTGGAGAAATTTAGCATAACATCACTTGCTCACCATTGTGAGTTACACTCAACATCTTATGAAGTGAAAAGCTGTTTGTAAGAAACAAAAAGGCATTTTGTCTTTAAACCACTGCTTCTGGCCAAAACCAAGGCCATAATAATGCTTCCTCCAGTGAAAAAGTTAATCCTCTGTTGTCTTCTCACACCAATATCTAACAACATATTTATTCAGTTTGTTTCAGACAGTTCCTAATGCAGACAAACTTTTTCATTAGAGAAAGAATTAGAGGACTCTATAAAAAAGGGGTATTTTAGGGGAAACACACTTTGAAGATAAAAATATCTTGATGTATTTGTTTATTACAAATACAAAGCTTTTCACTTCATAAGACATTAATTGATGGACTGGAGTCGTATGGATTACTTGTGGATTATTGTGATGTTTTTATCAGTTTGGACTCTCATTTTGACGGCGCCCATTCACTCCAGAGGATCCGCTGGTGAGCAAGTGATGTAATGCTAAATTTCTCCAAATCTGTTCCTATGAAGAAAGAAACTCATCTATTATTCCTTTAACAGGAAAAATATCACCAAACAATATATATTATTTTACCATAACTTTAGGCAAACTAGACAACGCCTGTTTGCCCATGTAAGTATAAATTAGCCTGTAGGGTTATTAACTTTTAAAAGCAGTAAAATTAAATCCAGCTTTAGAATATAGTTTATTGTGTTTTATTTTATTATAGCCATTATTTATGGGTTAACAGTGTGTGTACTACTACATGTGAAAGTGTTTTGTAGTTCTGTACCTGAATCTGGTTTCCTTTGGTGAGAACTCTGCCATTTTTTAACCATGAAATCTGAGTAGGAGGAGAACTATCACCCGAGACACACTGAAGGAAAACATCACGGCCCTCTTCAGTTCTCATGGACTGAGGGTGAAAGAACACATCCTCCAGGCCTACAAACAAACACATTACAATCAATGACAGTTTGTTGTAAACACCTGACATAGACTTATCCTGCCTTGCAGTTTCTATGTGTAACCATTTAAGAGAGAAAAATTATAAATATATATATAAAAAGAGTTTTCTTATATATATATATACAGTGTGAATAAAAAGTCATACATGTTTGAAATGACATAAGGGTGGGTAAATGATGACAGACTTTTCATTTTGGGGTGAACTATCCCTTTAACATCATCTCTCATCATAATTTCATTCATTAATATAATTACTCATGCTATATACATACATGCTTTGCTGACCATGACAGTGGTCTGAATCTGTTTGTTGCCTCTCTTTGCACTGCAGGAATAGTTTCCAAAATCTTCCTCTTTTAAGTGGGGAAAGAAAAGTGAGCCATTGGCCAACTGATGAATCCTGCTGTCCAGACCTCCAGCGTCTCTCTCCCATTTCACTGATAGAGGAGCCTTCAAGCCAGAGTCAAACACTGTGCAGTGCAGCATCAGAGAGCTATTTAAAATCCCAACGCCATCTTCAGGTAACACTGAAAACACTGAGCAAACGAGAAAAGTGAGCACGGAAATAAAATGAATATAAAATGATGAAGTAAGTAAATAAATAAATATTATAAGCAAACTAAATATTTTTGACTTGGGTATAAAGAGTTATTTTAGAAGCTAAGTATTTTAGATTTTGTGACAAAGAACAATAAATACATAAATAAACAGTGTAATACATTATCAAGTGACTATGTTCATTTTGCATAAAATACCACATTTTCCACATATTTCGTGATTTTTTTCTATTTTTATTATTATTGTTTTTTTAAGTATAATTTAATAGAAATTATATTATCAACCTAGCAATTTGAGTAAAAAGAGAAGTGTGCATGTCTTATTCACTTTACATCACTTTGTTTGTTTGTTTTTGTTAAATCAAAATGGTAAAACTTTGTTTAAATTATATTTTTAATCCCAAATTTGAATGTGGTGTCAGGTGTCTTCTGTAGGTTTTAGAATATAGTACTGAAAACACAATGCATCATCTGTAGCATAAATAATTATATATTGCATTAGTATTTGCATACTGTTTGCAAAGTAACAGCCAGCTATTCCATCTATTCAGTGTACCTTTCACCACATTAAATCTCATTTGAAATGGGCATCACTTTGAGGAAGCAGGGCTAGTTTGAAGTCCGCCGTTGCTAGGCTACACATGGAGCAGCATAATTTTTTGGCAAGCCTTTTGTACAATTATGCAAGCGTATAAAACATTTGCATGGCACACATGCATTTTTATGGGCCTGTTCAGCAGAATAAAATACAACAAAACAACATAAACACACTTGCAGCCAAAATACACAGGTTACACTCACCTAATTCAGACACAGCAGGATAAAAACTGATAGAAGAGCACAGAAGGAGGAGCCAGAGTGAACAGGACATCTGAACTGAGCTCCATACAGGACGAGACATGCTAGCCCTCTTCATCTGTGCCTTTCAAATTAAGATAATGGTCCATAGCATCATTCCTCATCTGACCAAATGCGTTCATGCACTGCAAAACAAACAGTCCAAAGGCCTCATACTAATGCAGGATTCAACATAACTGCCTTTCATTAGATAAACAGATAGCAGTCATAAAGTAGCCGAAATTGTTCAGATATTTCAAAATATAAATACTTGTGCTGTGCCTCATTTACTAGTGTGAGCGTGTCTTCAAAGAACGAGTGCAAATCACAACTCTCACACAGCAAAGCAGCACCTCCCCTCTCTCTCTCTTTCTCACTGCATGTTCCTAATTTGGTTGTGTTTCATTATCACTATTATCATCACAGCCAGCCTTTGTGTACTACAGACCTCTTTACTCTCTTCAATAGACTGGCCACTTTACACCACACAGCAGCAAACCCTCCATTTACTGATCGTAACATGAAAAGAGCAGAGGCGCTTTGTACTTAGAGGATCAGTTAGAAAGCTTGTAAGGAAAGGTTTGTACTTGACCACATAAGCTTTCATTGCCACCGTGCCCATGTAGGGCGGTCTTAGTTTACTGCTTCCCTATATGGCCAGTAGTGATGCTGTAAATATGCTTATTTCTCTACACTACAATGAGTTCAGCGTCATGAAGATGTCCATTACTAGACTTTAGAAGCTTATTATAGCGGCATTTGAATTGCATGAATGTGCATAGTGAACATTTATAGAAATGTCAGTATGAATCAATGGCAACATGAAGTGTTTTCTTGCGGTTTTCTTCTGATTTTGTGCAGTCTTCCACTCCACAAAAATATGACTCAATATGGGTTTTAGATTTATAAATACTGGCAAATCTAACATTAATTTCAATGAATGAATGAATTGAGACTACAGGATAGCAATATGCAAGTGCTATGACAAGTCTCAGTTAGCCTAACGCAATACACGTAGGAAGTTTTTTTTTTTAATTATATAAGAAATAAAAAGAAAACAGATAGAATAGAAGCCGATTCTTGAAGATGTCTAAGGATTCAGCTGCTCGGATTGAGTTGGGCAGGTCATTCCACCAGGAGGGAACAGTTAATTTAAAAGTCTGTGAAAGTGATTTTGTGTCTCTTTGGGATGGCACAATAATACGCCGTTCACTTGCAGAACTCAAGCTTTTAGAAGCACATAAGTCTGAAGTAATGAATTTATAACAATCACTTTTTCTATCAATTTAACAAATCCTTGCTGAATAAAATTAATTTCTTTCAAAATAATAATAAAAAAATAAATACTGACCTCAAGCAAAGTCCAATGTAAAAACCTGTTCCTGAATCAAAACGTGTTGAGAACCACATTTGCATTAAAGTAAACAGAGAAAGAAAACTTTAAGTGACCCTTTAAAAAAAGGCCATTATCACTGATCTAAATATATATATATATATATATATATAGATCAGGCCCTTTCTTTCAGAACATGCTTAATAATATATCTTACATATTTAGATCAGGCAGAAAAGAAAAACAGAAAAAAGTATGAAAGTAGTCAGTGTTGAATAATACTGTAAGGTTAACCCTGCCTGCTTGAAAATGATTAACAGTTGAAAATATTTGTAAGAAATATAGAAAAGCAATCAAAAAGTATGTAATCAGTTGCATTAGTATAATTAATCATTGAAATAGTTACACTATTACATTTTAAACAGGGTAACTTGTAATCTGTAACCTAATACATTTCCAAAGTAACCTTCCCAATGTTTTATTATTGCTTCATATTTTTTTGATGTGTATTTTATTATTTATTTTCAGATGTATGCTTTATAGAGGTCCTCTCTCTCAGATTATGTCTCATGTCTTATTATTGCTATTATTATTATTGCATTTCACATTTTTAGACTCTTCGGTCTATTGTGACAGTGCACCATTTTGGGAGAGCAGGTGAGTACTCAGAGGCGAACAGAAATCCCATGAATGAGCGCTTCAGCCTTATGACTCATCTGGCATGGCCCATTGACAGCAGGTGGGTGAGCTAATGGGATCTAATGCCAGGAGCCGGGGGTGTGTTTTCTTTAGCCAAACAACACCCCATTAAATGAAGAAGCAGTTTAGCAATTCATTAAAGTATTGAATATTTGATCCCCTTACAAATACAATCTAAGCACTCCAGAGAAGGAGTTTAATTTGTCTGGCATTAGTCATATGAAGATACGATGGAAAGAGTAACGAGAAAAACTTTAGAATAACATTTACTTATTTATGTAAATCTACGGATATAAGTTTAGGTGACTGATAACATACTTTTAGTTAAATTCAGAATGCAAACATATTGAAAGGTATCCAGTGAGTGTAGTAAAGCTGCAAATTTTAAAACAACTAAATACAATCATACAATTTACTTTATTAACAGATAACTGCTGACTTTAAAGTATTGCTGATATTGATTATGTATATTGAATGATCATTCTGTTGCTTATGATTTTGCTGCTTGACACTGAATCTATGATTTTTTTTTTATTTTATCTTTCTTCATTTTTTACCATGACAGTATTAAAAAAAAACAGCATTTTTAAGCATTTTAATCGGTTTGATTGATATCTACACAACAAAAATTAATATCCTTTTCATAGAATATATACACTGAAAAAAACAATGTTGCTTCAATATTTCACAAATAATTAAAAACAAGGACAAGTAACACATTGAACTAAACATGACATTTTCAAGAAAAAAAACTGAAATAATGTTTTCTAATAATATAAACTAAACAAATTGCCATAAATAAACAAATGAATTCATGAATGAATAATTTCTACGTAGCTGTAACCTGTTAGTTTTGAGTTGTGTTCACTGGGTAAGATAACAAAATAAAATAAAATAATTAAAAATCTGTGCACATAATTGTGTTGATTGTTCTGATTGTATACTGTATCTGCATGTCAATATTTGTTCATCCACATGAAAATGTTAACATTTACCGTACCAAGAGAAGACTTGATATGTATTGATTCATTGAAAATTTGTGTATGCTTGTATACACCATACAAAATGTAAAATAAATGAATGGAACTGTATTAACAACTGCAAAAATATTGCACTTACCCATGAAGAGCAGAAGTGTTAAGCCTCAGTGCAGCATCTCTGTCAGGGGGCGCTTGCCAGTGTGTGTCTTCTGCTTTATCAAAGCAACAGGCTTGATCTAATGATGGAGCAGCAGACACACATGCGGCACACACATGCGCTCTGTGGCAGAGCACCACCCCTCCACTGCCACGAACAATATGAGAGGACTAAAGCACCACTCTGCATGTGTTCAGACACTGTGCAAAATGCATGAGGCCACAAATAAAAAACTAAAACATGCAGTTTGAGAAAAATGAGAACAATTGTGTTCCAATTCCCCCGTAATGGTTATTCATAAAAGGTGTCCACAAGTCTAATAGCGTTTGTTGTACTCATTGGCATAAATCATTTCACACCTGTATGTGTGTTTGGCTGCATGTGACATTATTAATTATATTATAGCATAGGCTCTGTTTAAAGCAAATACTTATCACTTACATAAAAATAGTGATTTATAATATTACACATATGTTTCATATCGCATGTGTTTAATTTGTTGTAAGAGAGGGGTGATTCAAAATGAGCTGATTTAATATTCCATTCCATATATTTAGAACTGGTTAAAAAAAAAAAACATGCTGAAGTTCAATATGTTCCATCCAATAATAAATTAATAAATTATTTTAAGATCAGATTATTATAATAAAGAATCTGATATTAAATGCAAATGTTTAAATGACATGAGTCAGATAGCAGAAACAGTAGTATTGTTTTTAATATACTATTTTAAAAATAAGAGTATTTTTTGTAGAATCAAGTGTTTTGACAAGATTTAAGAAATATAAAGAGAAAGTTAGTGGGGTTTCGGGCAAAATGTAGCAAGTCTTTGCAAATGTAAATCGACTTCATTTCTTTTATCAGTTCAGCACAATCAGATGTAAATTAAACTTCAAATAGCCTGATTTCTAATCTATGCAAGAGGGTGATTTTAATTAACAACAAAGGCCAGTTCTGTTGGCTAATGTGGTATTTGCAGTGTGGAATATCAAACACACAAAGTCTGAGAATGGCTCCAAATCATTTCATGTTGCTACAGTAATTATTATCAGCGAGAAGCTGAAAAAGAATCATCAGAGAAAACGTCTTTGTCGAGACCACATCTTTATTTACAGTTTCAATCAGAAAGACCTGTCATGGATGATCCAAATCTGTCCAACAAATCAACAAAAGATGATTCATCACATTTGTCTTTGTTAACAGCTACAGAAACAGAATCAAGTGTTATGATAAATAATTTCATCACCAAGGCTGCATTTATATGACAATAAAAGGAACAGTAAATCATTAATATTGTGAAATATTATTACGATTTAAGATAATTGTTTTCTGTTTTAACATATTTAAAAAAAAAAGTAATTTATTCCTGTCATGCAAAGCTGATTTTTCAGCAGCCATTACTCGAGTTTTCAGTGTCACATGATCCTTCAGAAATCATTCTGATATGCTGAACTGCTGCTCAAGAAACATTTCTTATTATTATCAATGTTGAAAACAGTTGAAGCATCCAGTTTAGCAGTTGAAAATTGATTCATATTTTTGTGTAATAATTTTTTCGTTGATAAATAGAAAGTTAAAAAAATAAATATTTTCTAACATTATAAATGTTTTTACTGTCACTTTTGATCAATTTAATGTGTCCTTGTAGAGTAAAAGTAATAATTTCTTTAAGAAAAACTACCTTACTCCAAACCTTTGAATGGTAGCGGATCCCAGTTTTACACAAAAATATAAGGCATCGCAACTTTTTTCAACATTGATAATAAGAACAAGGCACTAAATATAAAGTGTTGTCTGATCAGGCCTCTCACAAATGAACCTCTTTTATTTGCACTCGTCATACATGATTTTATAACCAGGCTTCACTAGAATATTAATAATACAGGCTATTGATTGTTTCTCAACGTTATGTGACCCGAATAGACAACCCAATGTAAAATGTTGATATCAAAATAAGTTAATGCATGGGGGGGAGGGGGGAATAAGTCTAAGTCAGCTGACTAATCAATAAAATTACTATTTAATTGAGATGATTATATGAACTGTGAAAGCATAGTTTATTTATTTGGTAACATTTTACTAAGGTCTCTTATGTAAACATTAGTTAATTCATTAGCTAACATGAATACTATAAAAAATACATTCTTTACATGAATTAATGTTAACAAGTACTACTTTTGATTTTAAAAATTTCTTAGTAAATTAGTTTAATATATGCTGTGGAATGTGGTTAACTAATGTTAACAAAAGAAACCTCATCGTTAATATTTAGTGTTAATATTTACAAATTTGAATTAGAAAAATTTTGAATTCAACAGAAAGGTTAGAAGGTTAGATTAGAATATTATGACCATATTTACATGAGAAGGATCCCAATCCAAATGAGACCTGGCACAACAAGAAGAATTTGTTCTAGGAAATATAAATTAGCATTGGCATGAAGATCTGGCAGGCAGAAAGCTTGTTCTAACATGAGATGAGTGTCTGTGCTGATACCTGAAAAACACCACACAGCATCTCAGTTTGTAACAGAGTTAGGACCAGTCTGCTTTGATACGACATTTACACACAATACTTTTATACATGGACTCGAGTACAGTAGCTGTTAGCCTTGCTTACATTACATTGTAAGCTCATGTTCAATCATATACTGCATTGATTCCCTATATATCAGAAGGTGATAAAGCTTTTCAGATTTCAATAGTGCTGTAAAAAAGCCATATATTACCATTCTTAATCCACTCATTCCAGGCATGCAACTTGTCACTATCATGATTCACAGCAGACTCTGTGGAAATATAAACACTTCTAATAAATGGATAGAAAAATTATTTAAACAAAATATAAATATAAAATTGCTTACAAACACCGGCTCATATATGTTATCAAATGTCTATAGACAGATTATTCTCACCATGTGAGTGATCCAGAAGTTTTCCCAGCTCTCGCAGTGTCTGCGTGAGGTTTTTCAGTCTGTGATGTAGGTACGCGTTATCCTCTCTCATAGTGTGAATTGTATCTTGAAGCTCATATGAAAAGTTCATTTGTGGCATTAAACATATGGTCAACAAAATAAGAATCAGATGCATTGAAAACATCATTCTCTATATGCACACTTCTTTCAGTGAACTAATTCTTGTGTGGCCATGAACAAAAAGCACTGATGCCTGCATTTAGATATCGATCCGATTCTCATGCACCATTTATTCTGGTCTCAATACAAGATGTAAGTACAAACTGTTCTATATAGACACAAGCTCTTCTAGGCTAAACTGGTGTGAAAGACTCCAAACATAATATTACTTCTTTCATGTCAAGCATGAATCTCAACAGATTGGTTTATGTACTTTAGTGGCTTTTTTATTGATAATTCTTAGGGAGGCTAGTTTTTACACTAGTGAACATTTCTCAGAGTTTATTTTTGAAAGTCTGTTTCTGTATGAATACCTTCACAGCCACAAAAATAATGTCATTATTGCTCATCAGAAAAAAGATGTCAAACTATATGACGAAAGTTGTCACAATGGGACCCTTTTAGACTATTTAATGCCTTTTTAATCGTAGAAAATTACAACAAATCGAGCATATGTGACAACCTGTCCTGCTATTTGTTTGTTTGTTTATTTTAAAACTTCTTCTAGAGAGAAACGTTTGTGCAACTGGACTGTGAAAACTAGTTTAATGTAGGCATCATAATATTAATGTTGATACTGTGTAAATGCTGGTTTGTTTTATATTTTCCCCCACAGTAACAATGTAAATACAATTTGTTTCTAAATCTATCCTCGCTATTTACATACGCCGTCTATTCATACAGAGTTTTTCCTTTTACATTTGTTTCTAGGATCATAGCAACATGACTAGAGTAAGAAGTGTTTAATAACCATTTCCGGGCAACGTTCATGGTCAAATAGAATCCAAGATGGCTGCTCACATGTCAAGATTAAGGGGCTGGAGCCGAGCGCAGAGGTTTGAGCTAATGTCCTAATTATTCACGTACTGGATAGACGTGCGTCACATTTGTAGAGCCGTAGCCTCATGTTTGTTTTGACTTTATAAAATAATATATTTTAGATTGTCTCTCTACTTCATAAGGTCGTTTGCTATAGCAATAGTGTACATGTGACAAACTTCAAAATCTCGTGTGCTTCCCCGGTAACTTAATTAAACTGTATTGACAGCAACTATTGCAAATGCCAGTGTGGATGTTGTTATTAGTATCATATTGCTCATGATTTAACTGTGTTGCCATGCGTGTTTAATGCTGAGAGATAACCTGTAGAAGCATTGAGTGCTGTCAGTGTATGACTGTTGCAGGTATGGCATCGCAGTATGTAGGCAGTACAGCAGCGGCAGCGCGTATCCCAATGTGTCCCTGTCCACACCGTTACCCGGGATTCCCAAACCTGTCTTTGCCTCCGTGGACGGTCACGAGAAACACGAGACTAAAATCACCACCTTAGAAAACGGACTCAAAGTTGCATCTCAGAATAAATTTGGTCAATTCTGTACAGTTGGAAGTAAGTACAATGTGAAGTGTCGCTTGATTCAAATGAGCTGAGCCAGATACTGAGGGTTGTGTCTCACCGGCTTGTTTTTAGTTTTAGTAAACTCAGGCTCACGTCATGAAGCAAAATATCCCAGTGGAATTGCACACTTTTTGGAAAAGCTTTCCTTTTCTGTAAGTTAGTATTTGTATATTTGTTGTATGGCATGAATTGTTTATATACTAAATTGCTTTGACACTGTTCTTCTGATTTAAATGCACAAAACCGAACTCGGTTTGATTCATACTTCAATTTAAGTCTACAGCCCAGTTTGGAAGTAAAGATGAAATTCTCCTAACACTTGAGAAACATGGAGGCATATGTGACTGCCAAACATCCAGGTCTGACACTTTTTTTTTTCTTTTTCTTCAAATAGTTGTTTTCTCTTCTGTTTACCTCTTATTTAGCATGTTTTATTTATTTCTGTCATTTACAGAGACACAACAATGTATGCGGTTTCAGCGGAAGTTAAGGGTCTGGATACTGTAGTGAACCTCCTGTCAGATGCGGTTCTACAGCCTCGTTTATTAGGTGAGCATCTAAAACACAACTGATTATGTAAAGGTGTCATATGACATTGCTAAAAAGAACATTATTTTGTGTATTTGGTGTAATGCAATGTGTTTATGCGGTTTAAGGTTAAAAAAACACATTATTTTCCACATACTGTACATTATTGTTGCACCTCTATGCCCTGCCTTTCTGAAACACGCCGATTTTTACAAAGCTTATCGTTCTGAAAAGCGAGGTGTGTTGTGATTGGCCGAATACCTCAAGCGTGTGACGGAAATGTTACGCCCCTTACCATACTGTCAGGCC